AATGGATGAACACATGAATTGCCTGGACGGATGGATGGATGAGATCAATGAGAAAGCGCTGGGTATGTCACCCGTTGCATCACAGAAATATGTCTAATATTTCCTTCCCTTCCTGAGAGCTTACTACTTACTGTTGAGTCTCTCTGAACCCCTCCTCTGGCCCTGTGGCTTTGCTACTGATTCCTACGGTCTGATCCTGGCCTATATTTCAAAAGTGTTTGATTGCTGTGTCTTCCTTCTCACTGCCCCCTCATGTTTGTTCTTGAGTTCTGCGTCCTAAATGAGTCCTCTGCTGGCCACTGGCCCCTGAATTCTCTATCCTACCATCCCTTTAGGGCTTTTCTCTTGCATTCACCTTTCAGTGATCCCAAGATTTGTTATTGAACACGTTGGTTATTCCAGTTTGCCTGGAGGACAATGGCCTCCTCAGCATCATGTGAAGTGGATATTGTTTATTTTGTGCTCAGCTTTCACTGAGAGAAAGCAAATCCTACAGGCTCCAGGCCACACAGCCAAAGAGAGGAAGAGTGGGATAGTTTTCCTGGCCTAGCGTCTATGTGGAGAGCACTCTTGGCCCCTGTGCTGCTGCAAGTTGGGGTTCTGGCACCTTTCCCCGTCTACCCTCAAACTGAACTGGTGGCAGAGGTGGACACTGAAACTTGCTCTGCTTTGGTTGGAACCCCACAATGCACTTACGGGGTCTTTGGAGAGAAGAGCAATCATTGAAATGACCTGGGAGGTCCCCTCCTTCCACACCTTGGGTGACTTGTCATGGCCACAGGGACTCGGCGCTGCAGGCCACAGGGACTTGGGCTGTGGGACCCAGTAGGAATGGCAAAGATACCATTGGGCAAACAGTCCATGGGGGGGACTTGGAAACCAGGCAGGTAGCACTTCTGCCTCAGATGGAGAGAAATCCAAAATAAGCCCAAGAGACTGTGCTGTTTTCCAGGCCTTGTCCCTGCAGCCCCCTGACAGAAAGTTTCCCAGAAGACCCAGCCCTGTCCTTAACTGGAATATATTACATATTATATTCCAGGATAGTGTAATACATTCAACTATAGTTCTTGGTGGTAGTAGCGTGTGATAGGATGGATTCCAGGCACAGAGAACTCGACACCCAGTACACCTCTGGGTCACCTCTGCTTATTGTATCATCTCCAATGTGGCCTTCAAAACTCTAGAATATTCTGATGCTTTCTCCTCCAGTCCTGATCCCAGTAGGAGGAAGTTATTGGAACCTTGTAAGACACCTTAAAAGGTCTTGCCTCACCTGCTGTTGGACACTGAGCCTTACTCTCTTGGGTCATTGAATAAGGGTTGGTAGATGTACTGTGATGGCCACAATGGGAGGCCATGAGCAGCTTCTTCACTCTGTGCTCAGCGAGTGGAAACACTCTCACTCCTGGTCACTGTCATCAGTACATTCTGATTGGCTGGGAGGACCCAACCCCTGTCTCAGGCTGGCTCTTGCTATTGCCAGGAGGGTGTCTGCACAATGTACTCACGGACTCTGCAAACTCTTCACTTCTTTACTGTCCACATATCTTAATAAGAGAGAAGTGGAGTACATGGTTCTGTGAGCTTGGCTGCTCTGTGAGCAGGTGTCTTCTGACCAGCTGAAAAGTGCCAGCATCAGCTATCTGAGTCATCTAGGTTATGACTTGTACTTGTGACATTCATCATTGCATTCCACTTATTTGTCATCTTTGGATGGACACGTGGTTCTCCTGTGTCAGGGGCTATTGACAATACTGCTGGGAAAGTATATGTGTATGCATGTATATGTATATGTGTATGTATATGTATATATGTATGTATATGATGTATATGTGTTGGCCTGAGTGAGTCCTGCTTTACCTTTAGGGGTGTCCTGATTTGGAGAAATTTGTTCAAGTGTTTGTCCTAGTTTCCAGGGTTGGAACTGCTAGATTATGTGGTAATTCTGTGTTTAACTCGATAAAAAAAGCAAGCATTGCATCTTAAAGAAATACTCCTTGGTGCTGGAGACTGATGGAGACAGGGACACACCCTCTTGAATCTAGGGCAGATGCATTTATGCTTTGTAACTGCAGTAGCTGCAAGCACCAACCTGGCAAGTGTGCAATAGGTATTTGGTAGAAGGATGGATGACTTGTGGGGTAAATGGATGTATGGATGTATGGATGTATGGATGGATGGACAAATGGACAATTGAGTGGATTATTGGATGGAAGGATTGCTAAGTAGCTGGGTGGTGAGTTAGTGGATGGATGGATGGATGGATGGATAGATGGGTGGATGGATGGAAAGGAGGATAAATGGGTGGGTGGGTGAGTGGGGGGATGGGTGGAGGGATAATTAATGGAAGGGTAGATGAGTAGATAGGTGGGTGGATAAGTGGAAGGATGATGAGTAGCTGGTAGGTGAATTAATGGATAGGTAGGTAGATGGATGACTAGAAGGATAGTGGATGGATGGGTGGCAGAATGGATGTATAAAAAGGTAAGTGAGTGGATGGCTGGGTAGGTGAGTGAATGGGTGCTTAGATAATGGAGGAGTGGAGAGGTGGGTAAGCACACAGGTAAATAGGTGGTTGGAGATGAGATGGATGGGTGGGTGAACAGATGAATGGGGAGATGAATGGGTTCCCTAGGTGGGCCAGCCTAGCTTAGGTAGCTTTTCAGAGCAGCATCTGCTGGGAGGAAGTGTGTACCTGAGGATAACTCCTCTCAGTCTTTCTTGGGCTGCTCTCTCATCTAAGGCATCGGGCTGGGTCCCCTGGGTCTCCCAGGTCCCTATGAATACCTGTGCTGCTTGCTCATGAGCTTTTGTCCTTTTGCAGGGTGACATCCAACAGTTGCTCTTTGTCTCCGACCACCGGGCTGCCTATGATTACTGTGAGCACTACAGTCCCGACTGCGATACTGCGGTTCCTGACACCCCTCAGTCACAGGACCCTAACCCAGATGAATATGTGAGTCACCTCTGGCTAGGTTCCTGGTGGGAGCACAGGCAGACCCCCACAATATTACAGATTGTGATTATAAAGGACTGTGGAAGCTGCAGGACCATGGTTAAACAAACCGTAGGGGAAGCAGTTTGTGACGTCTGATCCATTTTACCATGGAGTAGCTACACCACCCTCTCCGTGATGGAATCTCTTAAAGGAGCGTCAGCAGCAGCTGTGTCCTTTAACCCTCCACACACATCCCTAGATGGATGCAGACAGGTGCCCTTTACCCTCAGGTTCTGACCTCAGTTGTTCTTTAGAGCTCATTCCATTCATATGGGCACCTAAAGTTTTGCAATAGGGCATGCTCAGCCCTGTGGTATTGTGACTGGTCCCCTGACTTCCACAGTAGCATCGTCTCTGAAGGATGGCCATGTCTGTCCCCTTTGTCCTTCTCCCCATTTCCCACTCTGGTTGCTGGATCACTCTCCTCACCACCCCCATGTTCTCCTCTAGCAACACCTTATTCATTTTACTTGGAGTTCTTTCTAGTATTTTCCCTGCCTCTGGTTGGGCTTGCTTCTCTGAGTATCTTTGCATCTCTATCTGTACTTCTCACATCTCTGCTGGTCAGAGTAGGCAGGGCTTTCATGGAGCAGTAGGGTTCCCAGCCCAGGCCACACCCCACAAATACTGAGGCTGTGTCCAGTTGGAGGTCTGAGGCCAGCCCCCACCAGGTCCCTCATTTGTAACTGAGGACAGAGTGCTTGCTTGTGAATATGAGTCCCTCCCACTGGGTACCCATGCTTTCGGGCTGAAGATTAAGCTAATGGCTGTGGCTAACTGAAACCCACACTTTGTCCTGGCTCTGATTCCTATGGGTCAGATGTAACCACTTTTAGGGCTCTGCTTTTGCTGACCTCTCAGGAGCATGAGGGGTTGTCTATCCCCACTTTGGGCTTCTGGATCAGCTTCTCAGGTAGTGGCTGAGGGAAGAGCCCTGTTAGAGGATGCTTTGGGATTGGGCAGTGCCTTATGACATCTGATTTCCCAGATGAGCCAGGGCATGGAGGTTGACAGGGTGCCCTGTAATATGTCCATTTCCTTCTTCATATGGGCACCATTGACTTCAGTATCCAGAAGGAGATGGTGAGACCTATTACTACGAGTACCCATATTATGAAGACCCTGAAGACCTGGGCTCCCCTCCCCACACCCACACGCACACACACACACACACACACACACACACACACACACACACACACACACGGTTGGAGCTTTCCTGGTATGTCACTGGGTGATCCTCCATCTACTCATGCCATTCTTGGTACCTGGAGCTCATGCACAGGCTGCCTCCCTCCTTATTTTCTCTGCCTTCCAGGGATTGAGAGTCCTGAATCCAAGTCAGTGGCCTTGGCTGAACTTCGCACCCATGCCCTGATGCTCAGACTCATACTAAAGGGGTGCTTGGGAAATCCTGGATACAGGTATCCTGACTGCCTCTTCCAATCCTCTGCCCCCAGGAACAGACCCAGCCCCCACCAGAAGCCCCTACAGTGCCTGAGACCAGTGACCCTGCCGGCAAGGAGGATGATCCAGGGTTTGGGGACTATGACTATGTGCCCACTGACGACTACTACACTCCCGCCCCCTATGAAGACCTTGGCTATGGCGAGGGTGTGGAGAACCCTGACCAGCCCACCAACCCTGACTCAGGGGCCGAGGTTCCCACCAGCACCATCATAACCTCCAACACCTCCAATGTAATTGCCTTCCTTCCTTTATGTCTTGATCTAGGGGCAGTGGTGGGGAAAGGGCAGAGGTCATGGCTCTGGGTCCCTGCTGAGCACTTACGCCTTGGGTGGCCTTTATCACTCCCATACCTGGCTCCCAAGTCCTCTGTTGAGCATGTTTTGGAAGCCATTGGCTTTTCTGAGTTTATTTCAGTTTTGCCCCCACAAAAATAGAATAGCTCTGTTGGGCTCTGAATTCTCATTCTCAGGGTGGCTCGGATAACACTATAGCTTTGGGCTACAGGAGTACCGTCCATGAACATCACAGAGTAATCCTCATGGGCACTGTGTTCTTCACTATTAAAAAGAGCCCCGGTTTCCAGTGTGCAAGCTGTAATCGCCAACTGAGTGCAGACCTCCCCAGGGATGGAATGTGGCTCTGAGGAACACTGCTGCTTTCCCCTGCCCTAGCTTGGACAGTTTGGGGAACCATCCCCATGGGTGGCTGGGAGGTGTGCAGAAAGGCTGTGGGGACAACAGGTCTTCCTTCATGGAATCCTCCATGGGCATCAGCTCTTAATGTTCTGTTTTGGGGCCACTGGTTGCCATATGTCCAGCAGAAATTGCTGGACTCAGTGCCTGCCAGACAAAGTCTGCATGTCGATTGGTCAGCCTCCCCAAGTGACTCTGCCACTACTGTCCCTTCATCTGCAGCCAGCTCCATCTCCAGGGGAAGACAAGGATGACCTGGGCGGTGAGTTCACTGAGGAAACCATCAAGAATCTAGAGGAAAACTACTATGACCCATACTTCGACCCCGACTCTGACTCCAACGTCTCCCCATCGGAGATAGGGCCAGGCATGCCAGCTAACCAGGACACCATCTATGAGGGGGTAGGAGACCCAAGTTCCTCTTTGCTAAGGGGCATCTGGATGGTGGGAAAGGGGCAGCGCTTCCAGAAACCTGAGCGTGGCAAGAGCTACCGAGGCTGTCATGCATCTTCATTCTTCTCTTTTAATTAACTAATTAATTAATTTGAGACAGGATCTCACTGTGTAGCTTGGCTGTCCTGAAATACACTATGTAGACCAGACTGGCTTGATACTCATTCAAATCCAGCTGCCTCTGCCTCACAAGTGCTGGGGCTAAAGGCGTGTGCCACCATGCCTGGCTGAGTGTCATTCTTTAAAGTGGCCCCTCTGACTGCCATCATGGCTGTTTGTGCCTCATTACCTGACTGTGTTGGTAGAGGCAAGGCTAGGGGAGGGGGTGGGTAGTCCTCTTCAGCTGGGCACGAGAGGAGGTGCCTAGCTGCAGGAAGCACCCTGGGTGTGCACAAGTTTCGTGTCACATGGACTTTTTGTTCCCTTTCTCTCCCCCATTCTTCCTCTCTGGAATCTCACATTCCACCACCATCCTGCACAGATTGGAGGACCTCGAGGTGAGAAATATGTGTATGTGTATGTGTATGTGTATGTGTATGTGTATGTGTATGTGTATGTGTATGTGTATGTGTATGTGTATGTGTATGTGTATATGTATATGGTCTCTGAGCTGTGGTGTCCTCTGCTAAGCTCATGATGGTTTTGTAGGGTGTGACCAGACTGTGGATCCCCACTCTCTGTCCACCAGGCCACTCAAGAAGCCACCCTCATGTACTCTACATCCTCTGTATCACAGATACTTGGGAGAGGCTCTGGGGGGTGGGGGAATATTCTATAGCTTGGTCAAGGTGCTGGGCAAAGTGTAGATCACAAGTGTCTGTATTTGGAGAGAAGGCAGAGAGAGGGTCAGGGCACCTCTGTGGAGATTTCTTTGGAAGAACAGACCCAGACCTTGAGAAGGAGGTTGGGTCAAGGGCTGGGTGGGGAACTCCTAGTGTAAGTAGCGAGGTGGGGCGGGGGATAGCTAGTTAAGGACTTCACCTCTCTGTGCCCTTTGTGCCTCCATTTGAGTCCATCTGCTGCAACCATTGAAACAGGAGAGACCTGTCAAGGGAATGTAAGCAGCTTTGAGGTAGGACTCCCCCTGCGTTTTAAAGCCCCATGTCATTAAGCAATGAAATCCTAGGTAGGTAGTAGAGAATGTGTGGTTGTGTGCAGTCCGTGCCCCCTCCTGGGTCAGAGAGCTTTGCGGGAGCCTAGCTTTGGTAAGGCATCCTTGTCCTGCTGGGTGCTGTGGCCTACTTGGGTCTCAGAGCTGCTGAAGTCAGGGCTTTGACCTCAGAGAATAGGGAGTCATGTGATTGGCTGGACTGGCCTTGGTAGACATGGGAGTGGGCTCAGAATTGGCTTTGCCCAGAGGAGCTGGCCACTGAGGTCATCCATCCAAGCATATCCTGTGAGTACCCAAGGGAAGAAGCCCTTGTCCTGCATCCTGGCCATTGCAAAGCTGGAGAGTTGTCAGTTCCTCTGCCAGGACTCAACTCCCTGGGGCTGAGTTTATAACATGACCTTGGGGATCCCTAGGAGAGAGAACCAGCTTCATAGCCTCCCCCCCCCATGCTTCATTCAGGGGAAGAAGAGCCTTGCTTGGCAGTGCTTAGTAGGCCAGTGGACCAGGGCAAGCTCCCTGGCTTGGCCTCTTTCATGGCCAAGAGGAGCCCTGGAAGAAAGCCTCTTGCTGGCTCCAAGGGCTCTGCCGGCTATTCATGACCCTGGCTTCCCCGGCAGTGAGCTTGAGAACATGTATCTTCTTCCCAGATCCCTTTCCATACCTCTCTGTGGATCCAAAGACGATAACCCTTATCTGAGGCTGTAGGATCAGGACACAAAAGGAAAAGGTGCAGAGCATGAGGGTAGTTCAACTCAGGGGCCCCTTGCTTAACCCCATGGGAAATCTAAACCCAAGTTCACGTTCATAGGAGGCTAGTCCGGAAGAGGAGCATCTCAAGGGACCGGGGCAGACTTACCCCTGGGCACATGTCTGAGCTGTTCCACTCCGAAACAGAGGGAGGCTGCAGCACAGATGGCCTCTCTGCTATGGGTACCACCTCAGCTGGGCTTGGCTTCAGGTGGATGTGGTCACCCATCGAAGCCCCTGATGGAATCCCTGATACTTCACTGAAAGGGGCATCTTTCCTGAGTAGGGCAGTGAGACCCCAGAGAAGGGAGGTACCCAGGCTCTGTGGGCCTCAAGGTCAGTCTCCAGCTTTGGAAGAGGGTGGTACTTTTGAATAAGGCTTACTTAAGCTTATAGTATGTGGAGTTGGCACCCCAGTTCTGAGAGTAGGAAAAGCATGGAGAGAGCCCCATTAAAGGGCTGCTCTGAAGGAGGCAGTGGGTGAGGGTGAGCGTGGGCCAGAGGCAGCACTGAGAATGGAGAGGCAGTCCAGCGGACACCCATTCTAGACTGTCCAGTTTCTCTTCTCTGGGAACAGCACAAACCATCTGGAGGCAGTTACTAAAGGACCCCTGCCCCCACCTGATGCTTGCTTCTTCCCAGCTTCCTCAGAGTGTCCACAAGGCCTTTGGCTAGTCCCCACAGAGAGATGGTGTAAACATTTGGAATTGTCAACCTGGAGCGTCGCCAGATGTCCTCAGAGTCTTAGCTATACATAAACAGATGGAGGCCTTGGGGACTGGTGGTGTATACCCTGCCCCATGTGGGGGCGACTGCTATCCCCTCTCTCCCACACCTGTCCCACAGACTGGGTTTACAACTGCTGAGCACGGTGTCAGTTCGTCCCCTGCATCCAGGAGGAACATGACTGGCCTTTCATGCTCAGGTTTAGCTCTTCTAATTTGTCAGCAAGACAAGGGGCTCCTTAAAAGGACAGATCTGACTTTGTGGAGAAGAGGCAGACTGAGTAATATCCTTGGTGCCAGCCCACAATGGGCTCAGGGACCACTAAGTGCTGAGTTGATGCCTCTCACCTGGTGGGCCCCATGTTACCACCCACCCTGCCTTCCTAGTTTTTCATTGACTTGTTTTTTGTCTTTTGGCAATGGCATCTCAAGTAGCCCAGGCTGGCCTTGAACTTGCTGAGTAGTTGAGGATGACCTTCAGTTCCTAATTCTCCTTTCTCCCTCTTCTGAGTCCTGAGTGCTGGAGTCCAAACCCAGGGCTTTGTGCATGCCAGGCAATCACTTTACCAAGTGAGCTCTGGCTCCAGGTTCAGTCGTTGCTTCTAGTTTGTTCTGCTTAGCAGATGGGTAGAACTCCATTAAGGATGGTTTGGGGGTGACAGTACATACTTATGATATCAGCACCTGGAAGGTTGAGGCAGGAGGATCTGAGCTCTGGGCTAGCCTAGGCTACAGAGCAAGATCTTTTCTCACTGGAAAGTAAATAACTATCTTCAGTTTGGCCACATCTGAGATCTTTTATTTCTGGTTTTTGTTTAGCTGTATGTATTTAAGGTAACAAAACAGTGTTTTTTCATCATCATCATCATCGTGTGTGTATAGGTACGTTTTGGTTCGGATATGTGCAGTGTATATACCTGTGGGTGTGTGTACATACATGCAGAGGCCGGAGGTAGATGCCAATTGTTTTCCTCAATTGCTCTCCACTTTATTCTTTTTTAAGATTTTTTTTTTATTTTTTAACATGCCCTTGGTGCCAATTGTTTTCCTCAATTGCTCTCCACTTTATTCTTTTTTAAGATTTATTTTATTTTTTAACATGCCCTTGTCCTACTGAAGGTAGGTAAGATGGTGGTGAGCTTAGCAATTGTCTAGACTGCAGGGATAGTGAGCTCCAGGGATCTGCCTGTCTCCAGGCACAGGTGCGCAGCACCATGCCTAGCTTATATATGGGTACCGGAGATCCAGACTCAGGTTCTCATGCTTGCACACTTTATTGACTGAGCCGTGTGTCCAGCCCTCAAGTATGATGCTTTGACATACCCGATGCATATATACACAGTGAAGAGCTCAGTCTTCCACCCTGTGCCACAGCATTTCTTTGTGTGAGCATGGGTCAGTGTGTGAGTGTGTGGCTGTGTTGGGGGTTATTGAGGGTAGCGGAATTTATTTCTTATAGGCCACTAGTGAATAAGCCCTGACAGCTACATAGACCTTCTCCTGTAGTTTTGAGCCCCAGTGCAGTAGGAGATGGGTGGGATGGTGAGGTGCAGGGTAGGGCCAGCTTGCCTGAGAAAGCCTTGGGACTGGGGCTCGTTCCTCTAGCCACATGCTCTTTTTTTTTTTTTTTTTGACCCCGGGGTGATCCATACTGGCCTCCTGTGAGATCCAGCAGTGCTGCCCCCGCTCCGAAGAACAACAGTGTGTGTGTCTGGAAAGACAGCTGCTGTCTCCTGGGCCCTGCCAGGGCCAGCGGTTCCCTTAATCTCTTCTCCACTTCTGAGTCCTCCCAGATGCCTGTCAGGGGAAACGGGAAGTGGGAAGATGAGCCGCTTGGATGAGTTCTCTGTGTACATCGCACGCACAAATATTTCTCCTAGCCCATCTGTGTAAACATGGCGTATAGCTTCCCAGAGACCAGGAAACCTCATAGGCAGGGTGCATAAGGCTTGTGTGTGTGTGTGTGTGTGTGTGTGTGTCTGTGTGCGTGTGCGTGTGCG